AAAAAAAACATTGTGGTAAAAAGAAACTTAAAATCAGTCAATTATGTTTATGTGATTTTATTCACCTTAAACAGTTGATCATAAACTCACCTGTTTCTTCACCTGAGGGCTGAGAAGTGAAGGTAAACAGCTGCACTTTTCCTGTTTTAGTGTCAGTCACTTCACATGCCAGTATGTTATGTCTTGATGGGTAAAGAAAGTGTGACTCTGGAATGGACACTGTGGTGGAGCAAACAGTGTGTGAAGTCACTGTTTGGTTGTTATTGTTGTCCACATCTTTACCTTTAATTTGCCACATCACTGTGTGATGACACTCTCCATGTGTCAGCACAGAGCAGTTTAGCGTCCCCTTATCAATGTTCTTATGTTCAGTCACTGGTGAATATAATGAAATATAAGGAGAGAAAAACAGAGTAAATCAGAAAAAATTATCCTAATCAATGCTATTATGACAGTTTGAGCTGAAAACATTTTGATGTAAATACTCACAGGTAATAACAGCGACATGAACAAAAGACTGATGAACCAGAGTGTGTTGAGATGGTGTTTCTTTGACTTCGTATTGTTGACAGTAATAAAGACCAACATCCTCAACTGTGAGCTTCTTTATAAGCAGAGAACAGTTCACTGTAACATTCAGTCTGTCTGATTTAGTTTTGGCTTCTTCACTAATCTGTCCAAGTGTGATCAGCTCTACTGTTGATGGTTTGTTTCTTGAACCAAAGGTCCACGTAGTCCCATCACAGTTATTCTGCTCATCTATCACATTTAGACAAGGCAGAGTGACGTCATCTCCAACTTTCATAAAAATTGATGTTTCATTTAGAGATACTGTTGAGAAGATTAAATAGAAATATAAAAAAGTAAATTAGAATACAGCAGTTTTTACAGTCAGAGTGAAGATCATTTTAGACACAAGTTTATAAATATGTCCCATGCTCCTCTAAAACAACAGAGCATGCTCAGCTCTCTTATTTACTGTAAAGGTTATTCATTGTAATAATCGCTAACCTGTAAAGGTTAATGATTATTCTAGTGATCAAACCTTATTAGTAAGGTTTGATCACTAGAGTCAAACCTTAGTTTTACTTCTGTTTAAAATGTTTCCTGTCTTCTTACCTGTAATCTGAATCATCAGCATCAGACATGAAAACATTTGAATCCATCTAAATTCATCCATCGTGCTTCTCTGTCTCACTTCTTTCTTGTTCTCGATCTCGACTGTCACACCCTCTGAACTGTTGACTCTTTAAACTTGTTTCCTTGGAATAGTGAAGTGTCACTAATTCATCATAACTTGTGCAATTTTTGTTCTTTTTGCTCTTTTTTTTCTTTATTTAGATTGAACAACAAAAAGAAGAAAAGGAAATTATGAACAATCAATGACTTATATGTTCAGTATAAGAGGGAAAATATGACAGTATAAAATCTGTTTAATATCTGTTGTGTTCTTTTACAGCCGTGTGAGGAGAGCAGGAGGGACGGCCCAGATATACTCAGACTGTCTTTAGGTATGTTATTGATAAATGTGAAACTGATCAACGAAGCACTTACAAACAACAACCTGTTTAAAAAGTAGAACTGGACAACGGGTATATAAATATATATAGAGCAAATGAGACTAGTGGGAGGAGCTGAGCTTAGTGTAGGGGATGGCGCAAAACTTCAGGATCCACCTACACAGAGTAGGCAAGAGCATTGTGACTCATCAGTAACATGTGACACTGTCATGTAGCAATAACATCTCTTCCTACAGTGAACACTTTAAATTATTTAACTGGTATCAAAGTCTCCTAAACAATGCTTGACCTCTGAACTGAGGTTTTACAACTCATGGTCTGTCCCACTGTTATCCAGATGCATCATCTAACATCTGTATGTTTTGTGAGTCTCATTCGTTCATATTTAGAAAACATATAAAAGAAGAAGTGGTTTGATTTCTGGGTGCAGTGTGTGATTTCATCATGTCCTCATCTGTAGGGTTTAAACTCAGTCCCTGAATAACAGGAATATTCCAGTTAAATCTGGAAAAAAACAGTCTCTATCGAGGAAGTTACGTTCTTGTTAACACCCACCTAGACATGATTTGTTCAGATAGTTTAATTAATTACTTAATATTAGTTATACATTATCATTATCTAGAGTTATTATCCTTGTTAATCTTTAGAAATGTCTTTCTCGTGAGGCCAAGTGGAGGTATTTAGCATCAGAGCTCTGGTGGTTTGACTCTATAATAACAAGTAGCCAATATCAAAAGCATAAATGGTTAACACCCTAAGTTATCTCCAACAGAGTTAAGACTAAGCTATACACCATGGTTGATAAATATGCACATTTTATTGCCTTTATTTAATTACATTTTTAATTGATTTAGCTTTTTAGAACATTACTACTAATATACTACTGTGTTGATTAGTTTAGTTAACATCACTGTTTCTCTTGTATTTGGGAGGCTTGTTCTGCCACTCAGATGTTTCTTTTTTCTAAGGCTGTGTAAACTGAATTTGAATTATGTTTTTTTTCTTCATTAATGGCTCTTTTGGAGCTATGTGCCCTTTAGTAAATATATTTTTTTGTTTTTTATGTCACTAAATGACTGTGGCAAGAGCCAGTCGCATATGTAGTTGGTGTGGTGATTCAGCGAGTGTCACAATCTTTAGGTTGTAAAGAAATGTGTGGAAAATGATGACCTGTGACGTAAGGTTTCGACACTCAATATCTGTTCCACTATTTTATAATGTATATGCTCTATCATTTGCATTCTCTCACAATGAGTCACACACATTTATATTTAGAAAACATATAAAAGAAGAAGTGGTTTTAACTCTAGTCAGGGTGTAGTCATGTGGGATCTCACCGAGTCCTGAATGATTTGAGGCTTCCACTTTGGTGGCCTCAGAATCTCATCTCTGCTTTTTGAAGATTATGAAGTGTGAAGATTTAGCAACTCTAAGTCCGAGACCGTGGTTCTCCACTGGACAAGGGTGGAGTGCCCACTCCAGGTCAGGGACAAGTTGCTGCCAAGTGGAGGAGTTTAAGTACCTTGAGGTCTTGAGGACAGTGGGCAGAAGACTGACAGACAGATCTACAGTTGTTAGTAAACAACAGATATCAGAAACACAATCTTTTGATACCTGATGTTATTTTATAAAACCGTTTTGTTCCCTTAAATAAAAAAATAATAATGTCAGTTTCAAATGAAAACTTAACATAGAGATATGAAGCATTTAACATCATTAACATAATAATATCTTTAAAATATAGCTGCATCTGTGTCTTTAGAGACATAACTAAAACAAAATTTGGATTTTTTTCGGCAATCACAAAAGAGATATTGATACAGTCTGCATTAAGCTGTTTTGCGATCAGAACATTCGATTTTCAGTAGATCTGGTTATTTACTTGATTTCAGTTGTTGTTGTTTTTTTTTAATGCATTTATAAATTGTCACTCCAATTTCCCAGCCTGACTGAGCATTTGTGCTGCTAAAGCTCTGACAGCTCAAATGCTCATTCTGGTCCCACAAACGCCAAGAAAAGCCTTAGATGTTCATATTCATGCTGTTGTATTTCAGAGCTATTTTGGAGGCACAAAGCAAAACTACACTATATTACAATTGTGGTTTAAATGTTTTGGCTAATCAATGTAATGAAGTAAGACCTTAGCAGCACAAAATACGTCCATAAAGAAAGCAAATGGATTACAGAACAGAGACAGATCTTTATTTTATTGCTATTTTAGTTACAGAGAACTGAATGCTTTTTTGGATACATGTAGATATTGATACTTGCTTTAAGTTATGGAAAAATACTGGTTCAGCTTTATACAATGAAATGTTTACAATGTCTTGAGAGACAAAGAGAGAAAGACACATTTATTTACACAGTTTTGTGCTAACCTAAAAAAGGAAACATAAACATGAATATCTGGTGTAATAATTGTGTTTTCTGTTCACCCAGCTGTCTTTTAGAGATTCTGAGCAGTTCATAGTCATGTAAAAGTAGCAACGAAACCAACTGTATTTTCATAAACATATTGTAAAAAACTATAATTTTTTAATTTAGGTGTTGATGTTTCTTTGGTTGGGGGGGAGGCACGGGTTGCCTGTGGGGGTTTCAGCTCGGCACTGTTCCAATAACTGGCATTTTATTAAATCTCTTGGAAACATTAAGCTCAAAATCCATGAAAACAACATTAAGACAACCTTGTGAAGCAATCTAGCTAACAACAGCAATAACGTAATTAGCATGTTGCTATCACACTGTCTCAAGTCAAAACCAAAATGTCCTTTTCATTAAATACGAGTCCTTTTTTCGACTGCTTCATTAAATATGAGTCCTTTTTTCAACTGCGTGAGCTATGTGAATCCAACATTGACAGTAGAATAGAGGTTGCTGGGATCAGCAGTGGATGCAGAGGATGGAGCCTTCACCATGCTGTAGGTCACAGCATCGCCTTCACCATCACGATGAACCTGAAAAACAAAAGGAATTTGTATGATACATAAACTAACATGAATAAATTAATAACGTTGAAGTCCTCAGTGCCTTATTTTGCAATTTTGATGAAAGTGATCTGAAGCTTATCAAAAATGTAATAGCTTCTTCCTCTGCACATACTCAACATTAACCATATTATGCAGTCTTTGCCAGCTTACCCGGGTTTTACTGTTGCTATTGTTGGTGTAGCTGATGGTGGCATAGGAAACTTCAGGCTCCACCTACACAGTGAAAAAAAAAAACAGCAGAACATGCTGTCACCTCACTAATATGTGTGATCCTGTGTCATGTAATAATAACAACTCTTCATCTGCTGAACACTTCAAAACTCTTTAACTAGCTTCAAAGTCATATGGGGTGGCATATTGTGGTGCTCTACCTCTTGAGCTACAGGAGGTAGAGCAGGTCACCTGTTGATTGTAAGGTTGGTGGTTCTACCCCTGGCTCCTCCAGTCTGCATGCCAAGTATCTTTGGGCAAGATACTAACCCCAAGTTGCTCTCTGATGTATCCATCGGAGTGTGCATGTGTAAGAATGTAGTTAGGAAGCACTCAGTTTAGAGAATGCATGGCTGCGAATGTTGTATGTTGTATAGAGCACTTTGAATCAGTCCATGTAAACTGTCTCAAAATGTTATTTTTGCATTAAAACTGCTGTTTAGTGTTGAAACTGCTGTTCAGTTGCATCATCTTACT